TATCTGATGCATTGGAGTACACTTCAAGGATCTTTGCCACCCACCATGATGCTTTTTCTTAAAGTTATTATATAATCGTAAATCATCAGGTTGAAAACATTTTAAATAATCGCGAGAGTAGGTAATGCGATTTGGACACATAATTGAATAATTAAAACAAAATAAATACGAGGAAATAGATGCAATATGAGGGATGCGAATTTCGGTAGCCCAAGATTTAAGCAGGCCGTTGCTAGTATGGCTGTGATACATCCATTGAGAATGCAAAACATGAAAAGGCCGGCTAGCTATCTTCGATCACAAATGTTTGAGTTCTATCTCCCATGTTAAGTGGCATATTAAGGTGAGCAATATTCATTTTAGGCGTCGAGTGCTGGGCAAGGAGGGGAAATCAGTCGACGAGGTTACGAAGTTACATCGATTGAGATAGTTAGAACATGTTCTACGCATGCCTAACCATCGCCTTCCTCGACCGACGGGCGATATTAGGTGACATAGGATGGATCGGTTTGGATAATAGCTAGTGGTGGTCGAACCAAAATATGGTATCAGTCAATGAAATCCTCAACAGTTAGTTTAAGCCAACCACGTAGGAAGGTATAGACTTCCTGGTTGTGGTAAAAACCAATGGCTAGAGACAATTGGTGACATGGCTCACAATCGTCGTTGTGAATGGCGCAGATGCATCCACTACTTGCGACTTATAATATTCAATAAAACTATATTGTTCTTGGATATTACTATTCTTTTTGCCTCATATCCCTGTTTACTGTCTCTTTGTGTTTCTTTTTACTTTCTTCTCTGGCTTTGTGTGCTGAGTTCTACGCTGAAACCAGTCAGTAGCTTCTCAACCTCATCGATTTATTTGCCTGCTTTCCCTATCACTATACCTAACACCTCGGTATTACTCACCATATTATGCCACTCAACACGGGATATTGAACTCAAACATCTGTGGTTGAAGATAGCTGACGTTTTCGTATCTTCCACTTTCAATCACTATGTCTAATAGGCATAAAGGAGAGCAGAGTGAACTGCAGCACAGTATACATGTCCTTTAATAGATAGCCGGATATAACTTCTACGCCAAAGATAACCTGAGTTGGCAAATGTCACTCATGGTTTTTGTAACCATAAGGAGATTATGTAAGAAGATAGTCTACTAGGAATGATGTAACTTTGGTGATATGGCTCAAAGTAGTTCTCAATGGCTGGGGCGGACGGATTCACTTTTCGTAGTTTATAATGTCGAAACAGAATTCTATGGTTCTTCCATATCACTATTCTTTTTCCTGCACACTTCTGTTTATTATCTCTATTTTCAATCTCTCTTTACTCCCTCCTCTTGCTTTCTGTGCTACATGGAGTGTGGAAACTGGAACTCCTGCACATTTGTGCAAAGTCCTACGTGAAACCAGTCAGTAGCTTCTCGTAAAATAAAGTGACACGATACTATTACCATTTGGAATATGGTATTTTAATCGATAATTATGCTGAAGCCAGTTTCCATCTTACTATAAACTGACTACTCCATATGGTATAAGCTGGTTGTTATATTTCTTAAAGTATGAATATATAGAATGGAATCTGAGGCAAGGATACGCCCACTGTTAAATAATATAAGCATACGTCTATCTACAATCATTGAATATTATAAGCTAAATCCTACCCTTTTTGAGCATTGCATTGTGAAAAAGAAAGTTACGGCTTTGTATTCCTAATTCTATACACAATAAAAATTTACCTCATAAAATTTGTAACCAGTTAATAAGCAAAAAAACATTGACAACAATTTAAGGCTAACTAGTTAAACAGGAATAATAGGCCTTTTGATGAAAACAAATGTAACTCGTGGCAAGATTAGGGTTGTCCGGAGCGATATGTGAATGTTATAGTGATTTAACTTCATACCAAACGCAGGCTCGTAAGCTCCACAAAGCAACGTAATTCGTTAAATGCTTCGTTTAGTTCACAGACGTTCTAATAAAGAAACTTTTTGACAAAACATTTACGTTATACCTTAAAAACTGTTATGCAACGCACGCGGAACTAGATGATGAAGAAGAAGGGGATCTTGTCATCGAATACGTTTGAAAAGGTTTCAAAAGTAAGCAGCTTATGCAGTTTTCACAACAGAATGCAAGACGTAATGCCTCTCTGCGTGAAAACTAAACTGCCTGTTGACAAATCCAGCAAATTATAGAGTACAGAGTTATCTTTATAGAGAATTTGTTGTTTTTCTATTTACCAAGTACAGTGCATGGCGTCGGTGGCACAGCGGTTAGGACTCTCGCCGACCATGCATACGGTCCGGGGTTTGATCCCCTGCCGATGCACACCTGATATCTATGGTCGACCTGCAAAATTTGGGCTACCGATATCACATGCTGAAAATTCCATAATTGTACCGAAAAATACGGTGTGGAATCAAGCTGTAATAAAAAAAGACTTAAATGACTTCGCCATTAACAACAGCAGGGTATCAAACTGATGTAATTTTAGTGGGTAGTGTGTAGCAGTATTTTTTGACTGATACATCTACAACATTTGTTAGTGTACGCGAAGATGGGTTTTAATTGCGCATTCCCTCGACCAACAGTTATTGTGTACGAGTAAACATTTCAACCTCAATATTATTATTTGGATGCAACACTAATAACGAAACGACAATCAAATAATGAATACACAGATAATCCAGTAAGGGAGTAGGTTGTCTTTATGGTGTATAGACAGATGAACTTGAATCCAACTGACAGAACACTTAACTTATTATCTATGCCTTTTCCTAAAAGGTTTACATTTATATCGTTTAACTGTTGCATTCATAGTAGGCATTGTATTATACATTTAAACAAAGTAGACTTATCATGATTACTTGCAGGATCATAATAATGCACTAACAACGTATTTTATTAGCTGGCTGCGATAATACAAATTGACTGTTGAATGAGTCAAATGTAGAGATTCCATGAAATAAGATACATGATTACTAGAAGAATGAAAAGTACTTTTATTTTAAGGTAAATTTTACATTTCCCGTTATGTTAGACGAAAATGGTAGTTCTCTGTTAACATATTGGTTCAACGATGTGTCAAAAGATTATTATTAAGTTATTTTGAGTTAGTGATGAGTAGCAGTGTAATCATGTTCATGCTTATTTCGACCTATTTGGGACTCATCATAGTTGGATTTACCAACAATCTTCAGTGAGTGATGATGGTACTCCCACTGAAGCTAGAACTCTTCAACCGTCAGTGGGAATACCATCACCACTCAACTGAAGAGTGTTGATACATCCAACTGTGATGAGTCCCAAAAAGGACGAAATACGCACTGCTACTCACCACCAACTAAATTAATAACAATATTAGTAATAGCCTCTACTTTAGAACACAAATTATGCTGTGTTATTATTTTAGCTTGAAGTAATTCAATCACACTTGAAGTATGCATTTTGAAGCCATAATATAATTATAGATAATATTGATATAGTAAGAATTTTCATTATTCTTAACTGATAGTTCACAGTTGATTGAATGGTTGACTGACTAACTGCACATTTACAATACATTCAGATTAATTATATAATCATAATGACAAAGAGAGAACATGAAAGTTAACAAAGATAAATAAAGAGTGAAGACATAATTGTAATCAAAAGTAAAAACAGAGTAACATGCATTTTGAAGAGAAAAATATTCTATCATTTGTGTTAAAATATCAAGCTAAGTAAATAAAGAGATAAATAATACACAAAGGTGTTAAGGACAAAAAATTCACAAACAAAGGAAGCTGAAATAGAATGAATATTTTAAAAGAGGAGAGAATAAATGCACAGTGATGATAATGATGATGATTACAATTACATTATTAATTCAAGGAAGATGATAATATTAATTATTTACCTTCTTCGTCGAGACTACAACATAAAACAGGGAAATAACAGACAATAACAACACTCATTGATTATCGATAGGTGAAGGGAGAGAGAGTGAAAGAAAAGTAAACAAGTCTAAATTAATGTCAAAGAGAGTCATTAAATCATCATTTAACAAAACAGGTGAATAGGGAAAGGTGTTTAAAAGCTTTTGCACAGGTGTCGTTTTCTATTTTGAGGAGAAAAATCACAACACGAAATGGTATTCCATAAAACAATACTGAGTAGAGGTCTCAACTGAGTGAATAGTTGAACAAATTAACCTCTCATTTTATGTTTGTTTGTCTTTATAAGTTGATCAAGTTATAGTATTTTACATAAAAGAGAAAATACTACATCAGAAGAAGGATAACACAATAATGACAAGGCATACGTATATATACCCATAAGCATTTTAAATATGGTTAGTAGTAGGTACCAAAAAAACCGAAAGATATGTAGATATCTAAATATATAAACGGTGGTGAAGAATATGAGGAATTTATATTCACTTCAAAAACAATAAAAATAACGACAATAATTAGATTAACATCACATAACGCCGAAAAACAATGTTCAACTGAATTAGAAGACTGTAAGAGACAGAGAGAGAAAAGACAGTTATTATTTGTAGCAAATGTTTTTTTGGAATGTTAAGACAATGAGGAAAAATGACGAATACAATTTTAGTAGCTTAACACATCTTACCTGCTTTCAGCATAACAACACATACTAAATAATGGATGTTGAGTACGTATACTTACTATCGTGTGATTCATATTCACCACTACAGATATAATTTGTTCATGTGGTAGGTAAATGCAGCAGTCGTTAGGATAATAAGATGAATTGATTGTTTTTAGTTGACAGTCTGCTTGAACAGTCCATCGGATTGTTATAAGATATTAATAATAGCAATGGTAATATTGCCATATATATATATATATATATATATATATATATATATATATATATATATGCTATGAGTAAGTACAAGAAAGCGTGATATATTCATTCAAGCTAATTGACTGTCTGATGCAGTGGATGTTCGATTCGTTCGTTTTTATTGTATTTTCATTTGGATCAATAAGCTCGACCGCTGACTGGTTGTTGTTGGGCTACGGTGACAGGTGTTGGGTAGGGGAATTCACTGCCCGGTGTTGGTACAGCACCGAAATCACTGCCAAATCCGGTCGGATTATACGGTGGAGCAGTCTGTTGCATTGGTGTCACGTCATCAACGTCTTCCTCCTTTAAATATAGATGAGAAACAAAGAATATATATATATACCTTCTTCGTCAAAACTTCCCACACGATAACAACACTCATTGACTAATGATAGGTGAAGGGGAAGTGAATGAAAATAAACCATGAATTCCAAATTAATGTCAAAGACAGCCATTAAATCATTTAAAAGAGGTAACAAGATATTAAGGGAGAGAGAGACTTAATATAAATGGCCAGTGGTTATCTCGACTAACTGATACGTTGAAATGAAATCCTAAGTACTAGTCAAATACACACTCATTGGTAATCAAATACACGAAGTCTCCTCATGCCAATTCCCTTTAACGACTATATTTTAAGTATATACAGTAGAAAAATATTATGCAACTGGGGTGTATAATAAACCTGATTTATTTACCATACTTCACCATTAGTTAACCTCAATCATTTAGAAAGTATAAAAATGAATATCACAATCACGATTCAAGAAGCATAACAATAAAAGTCAAGTGAGTAGGATTACTCAATTTCGTATTTTTAATTTAACAAGGCATTTAGATCCCTGATCTGAAATCAGTGTGGGAGTCTCCATAAGGAACAAGATTAAGATTTCCAACAATAACGTCAAATAAATCAATGCTTCTGTATAGTTCAGAGACTTGATGCGTCAAGTAAGGCACTTCCAACAGCTAGATACACACATTTGCTGACACATGTCCTCACTCTATACTAACATTGAGATGTACAGAAAGTGTTAGCAACGACGAACTCTGGAAACGAAACCCATTGAGAACTATCGCCCAACAGATATGCCTAAGACAACGGAGGTGGATTGAACACATGCTGAGGAGACCGTCGACCGAAATCAGGCCCCAGTCCACCTCTCATGTGGAATCATGGAGCCAGCTAAAAGGACTGCAGAGAAGTGGTGTTTTTGACGCCCTAAGTCCCACTCGGGACCGAAGAAAATAATAATAATGAACTTAGAATTTTTCAGACCAGACTGCATGAAACCTGCTAATTTGTAAATATTCACACCGTCACATCTAATTCATTCATAAAACAATAAGTATATTGACCTTCCAATTTTGTATGCAGTAACAAGTGGTGCAATAATATGCAGTATTCTGACTACTCTACTGATTATTCCCATACATGTGACAATAACAAAATTTATGTTTATTCATGTGTAGGTGTCTGAGTTTGTTTGAGGACTACAGAAACAAAGTGCATTCTGTGTTTGACATTAGTGCTACGATTTACTTACGAATGCTGGCCATATAAATTTCAATTATCCTAATACTACTGTAACAACAGAAGACAAGGGCCAGGCAACTGTGCGTTAGTGGCACAGTGGTTAGGACTCTCGTCGACCATGCACATGGTCCGAGGTTCGATCCCCTGCCAACGCACACCTGATATCTATGGTCGGCCTGCAAAATTTGGGCTACCGATATCACATGCTGGAAATTCCATACTTGTACCAAAAATACAGTGTGGAATCAAGCTGTAATCAAAAATATGAAAAAAATTAAATTAAATTTTTATGGAAATCAACACATATTTATAGATTTTCATGTACATATTATAGATTATTGTTAGCAGAAAAACACAGTCTTCTGATTAATTGTTTCTCACTAAAAGTTAATCTTTCGTCTCTTTATGGCTATTCCTTGAATGTCAGATCATCTGGATGTTAACTGCATCCACCTACGCAAAGCCTTTGTTCTCATTTTTCTCACTACCAATATTGGGGACATAAACATTGACGTACACTACTGGCCATCAATTTCAGCTAACAGCTAGCTCTCACAGCACTACTACTACAGTTCGTGTAGTTCGGAGTAAGTGTCGATACAGGAAACCTACTGCATCATTTGATTATAAAGACGGCACAAAAATGACACCCGAGAAGATGACAAAGTATCCCACTTAGGTCTCCTTAGTAAATTTAAAGGTTTCGGACTAGACCAGTGCCTATGTGAGTGGTTTAGAGATTACTTAATGGATAGAAGGCAGAAGGTTAGAGTTAACGATGTACTATCAGGATGGAAAGCAGTATCCAGTGGAGTGCCCCAGGGAACTGTAATAGGTCCATTGCTATTCCTATTATACGTTAACAAATTACCAGGGATTCTTTCTTCATCTTCATTATTATTTGCAGATGACATTAAGATATGGAAAACTGTAAACAATAACGAGGATAGGTCGGCCCTACAAACTGATTTAGATAAATTAGCTGAGTGGTCAAGTCTATGGAGTTTGGAAATGAATGCTAGGAAAAGCGCGGTAATGCACTTAGGTCAGAAGTCTTATGCGTCGTACTCCCTAGGGGATGCAGAACTACCTGATGTTAACGAACAGAAGGACCTAGGAATCATTGTCAGCAATGATTTGAAAACAACTGCAAATTGCAATGCAGCCGCAGCTAAAGCTTTTCGAATGCTATGGGCAATTCGAAGGGCTTTCAAACGATTAGACGAGGGCATGTTCCAAATACTCTACGCAACATATGTCAGGCCTCATCTAGAATACTGCATACAAGCGACGAGTCCATGCTTCAAAAAGGAGGCACATATTCTGGAAAGAGTACAGAGAGTAGGAACAAAATTAGTTAGTGGTATCTCACACCTTCCTTATGATAAGAGGATGGAGCATTTAAATCTCTTCCCGTTATCATACCGAAGGAAGAGAGGCGACTTAATTTTAGCATACCGTATACTTAAGGGTGATTTAGGAACTGACCTAACCTAATCTAACCTTTTCTCCCCTTCTAGGATACATTTACGGGGTTACCGCAAAAAGGTGCTCAAACCAAGGAAGATTAAAATACGTGCAGAATTTAGATTCTCTCACAGAGTGGTCAACGATTGGAACTCCTTACCTGATTCAGTAGTATCAGCTTGATATGTATCCACATATATATATTTATGTGTGTGTGTATGTTGGTCTCTCTTTCTGTTTGCTCTCTTAGTCTGTGACCATTTCACTTGTATGAACTTGTCTCCTTTAACAATGTATATTCCCCTTATATTATAATATGATATGAGTGTTTGTTGACAGTCCGTTGCTTGGTGAAATATATCCATATATGGTGGTTGTTGACATGTCTGCTATATTTCGCTATGTATATATGGATCGATACTTCATTATAATTAGCCATTCATGTTAAGACTGTCTAATGATTGTTCACATCGGTGAACGCTTTCAGAGAGAAGTTAGATCTCTGCAGAGATATACTTTGCAAGGATTAACACAGGCCACAAGAGCCTTCTATCCTTATCATCTGAATCTGAAATTGCAGATCTCTACCGAACAAGATTATTTACTTGCATTCTCTATTATACCCAAATGTATATTGTAGTACTGGTGTAATAACACTTCAAGAAACTTGGCTCCACGACACATAGGACGATAATTTAGTCTCCTGAAGTGGTTTCACAATGTACAGACAAGACCGATGCAGCTCAAAGAAGAAGAGAGGTGGTGGTTATTAATTCTCAGTGGTCTACTGCCAACAACGTCTGCTTCAAATTCTCAAATGACAATATTGATTGTATAACTGTTAAATGTCGACCTAAACACTTATCTAAGTATAGCTTCATTTTTGTCACAAATATCTATATCACACCTTGTTGCAGTCCCTCGGAACTATCGATCTTCGCTGATGAATTCACTATTTTTGTTGCCGCTTCGTCTGGTAACTCCTTATCTATAGTGACTGGCGACTTCAACTCCAGCGACTGCAGTTTTATTACATTGCTGGGCCATGAAAATGTTAACTTCCCAACTCGACAAGATACTTCACTTGATTTAGTATTTATAAATGATTCTGGAATATACGAAGCACGTAAAAGAGCCCCGCTCTTCAATTCTGATCACTGTATTGTACGAGTCTTACCCAAAATTTACGGAAAGTTACACAGTAAAGCCTTCTCAAACTTGTCTAAGAAAGTTGTTCACAGATGCTACTCAAATGAGAACGTACATCATCTTAGAAACATGCTCAGTGACACAAGATGGGATCTGTTTAATAATGATTCACTTGATGACAATATCTCTAATATTACATCCTATCTGAAATTCTGTTTTGAAATCTGCTGTCCAAAAGAAACACTATTCGTCAAATTTGACCGTTTCTCCTCCCCTCAACTTAAAAGGCTTCGTAGAGAGAAGGAAAAACTATATAAGATGAAAGATAAAAGTGGTGTAAGAAGAACTAACTTCTTAATTAAGTCTGAAATGCAGAGGTTGAATGTAATATATAACCAGAAATTCATATCCTGCAAAAATCCTTCTAATATGTGGAAACTATTTAAGGAAATCACTGGTGGTAAGCAGATAAACAATATTCCATATTCTTTTGATGTATGTACTCTTAACAAATCTTTTATTTACTCTCCCTCAAATGCCATGCTTCCCAGCATCACTTGTGTTAATAATAGCCCCTTTCCAGGTTTTAACACAAATGATGTTCAAAAGTGCCTCAAGTCTCTAAACCCTTCCCAGAGCTTAGGTCCAGATTATGTACCCAGTATTATTTTTAAAAAATGTTCTGATATTCTGTGTCACCCTTTCACTGATCTATTTAACAAATCTTTTTCCAGTAATATTGTGCCTGCCGTTTGGAAGGACATTAAAGTTGTACCCATACCTAAATTATCTACTGGAGCATGTGTCAAATTTAGACCCATTGCTATTACCTCTCCTTTTTTGAAAACTATGGAGAAATTACTTTTACTTAGTCTTCTACCTTCGCTTAAATCCTTTAATGACCCTAAACAATTTGCCTATAAGCACAGTAGAAGCACTTTAGATGCAGCTGCCGTCTTATATCATAACATTGCTTCCAGTCTAGACAAGGGGGCTAAATTTGTTCGTTGTGCCTTCCTAGACTATACATCTGCTTTTGACTCGGTCCCTAGGGACATCTTATTAAATAAACTTGCTGCTAGTCAAACAGAATGTTGGGCTGTTAACTGGTTACATTCCTATTTCTCAGAAAGAAAGCAGTACACCGTGTATAAAGGGAAGTATTCCACTTCATTGCCTACTGAAGCTGGTGTCCCTCAAGGCGCTGTCCTTTCTCCTTTTCTTTTTTCTTTCTTGCATGACTTGCCTCACTCTGATGAAATAAACTTTGTGAAGTACACTGATGATTTAAGTTTCAATGGCTGTTAACTCCCAGCTAGATTGTACCAAATTAAATAGCTTTCTATCGGGAGTCAGCAAATGGTCTGAGTCTAACGGTCTTAAACTGAATCCTTCTAAATGTCAAACTGTTAATTTCAGCTTAAGATGTAAAAGACAGTTAAAAGAAGTCATCGATTCTCATGACAGTTGTAAAATTGACGACAATGATTTAGGAATCAAATCAGAAATTAAGTATCTTGGACTCATTCTCTCTTCTGATCTCTCCTGGTCTTCCCATGTCTTAGCAATCTCCAGTAAAATATTCCGCCTTACATTTTACATTAAGAAGTTAAGACACTCGGGTATAACTCAACCCCTCTCCTACAGTTCATAAACTCTTGCATCCTACCTATTCTTCTTTATTGTTCACCCTTATTCTTTCCTGGTTTGCTTAAAAAGGACTATGTCACAATTCGTAGAATGCTGAAGACTGAATGATTAATAAACTCGTGGAGAAACCTAAAAGCTCACTTCAAATTGAAGTATGCGCTGAAGATGTCACCCAGTAGGGCGATGAAAGCTTCGCAAACCAACCATCCAGCTCAGAGAACAAAACCACATCAAAATGCTGAAGACTGTCAGTAGGGTGAGTGGTGTCCTGGTGGACCATATAGTTAGCGTCGTTGTCGATAGGCACTTGACTTCGTGCAATAAATTTGCTAGAGGGATTTTGTCTGACTTGGAGCATTCACTTTACCCTCAACTTTCACCTTGCATCTCCTCAGGTAGAAAAAGAAGTAACTTCAGAAAACTGTATGCTCACACGTTTAAGTATAGAGATTCTCTGATACCATACTTGGCACGTATTTTATGTGATGAAAATAGTGTCAGGCAAGAATTAACTAACCTTTTTTCATCTAGTAAATAAACAATTTCCTCCATCCATCCTTATATACTTTCAAGTTTTACTTTTATTGTTTCTACTATGTTTATGGTCCTGTTGCTTCTTTGTTTTACTCTCATAATTGCAAGCACCAACTTATCTCTATGACTGCTGTAATCTTTGTTTTTCCCCTCACCATATCATGTAAAGAGAGTATTATATTCAATATTTTTAAACATGCTAGGATTTATATACCGCATTGACAATACTGTGTGTAACAAACCCGCGGCAATTTTCACTTGTATTATTATTATTACCTTAGCTGTTATCATTATTATTATTTCCACTTTATTTGCTGCATGTTTCTGACATTACCCATATTGTAAATGTGAAAGGTTTTCTGTGTGATTAATTTTATTTATAATTTGAGGAAATTAGATGTAATATTGTGATTAATGCTGAAAATTCCATTCTGTATCACAAGTACTGTTTTTGGAATAAAGTAAATCATTATTATTATTATTATTAGAGGACAGACCAAACTGCTGAGCAGTACACATGCCCCCTGTTCAACAGCCAGCCGGATATCACGTCTACTAAGACAGAGATGGAGTAAGTTGGTGTGTGCCAAACGAGCCCTTCTGTACCTGTGGTGAGTTGTCGTCACTGATTAACCTGTTGTTGGGTCATTGCGATATGCAAGCCCGTCTGCTACGTCAAGGTAGCAGCTATCGGTCAGGTGAAGAGGCTACACTAATTGATATGTCTAGGACACGTGTTACTTATGTCGACCTACCATCTTCATCGAGGAGCTGACATGAGATACGTTTGGAAAAGAGTTAGAAGTGTTCAAATCAAAACCTGACATCCATCTATGAAGTCTTTGACTGTTGGTTAGAACCTCCTAAGGAGGTGTAGACTGACTGGTTGTTGTCCTCGGGGTGCTAAGAATCAATGGCTTGAGACTGTTTGTGATATGGGTCTAAGTTGTTTTCACTGGCTCAGATGTATTCACCCCTTGTGATCTCCAATATGCATTAGAACTTCATGTTTCACTGTGTGTGTAATTATTCTACCGGTTGCATATTTCTGTTTATTGTAGTTCTTTTGAATCTTTTTACCTATTTCTTTTGTCTCGTTTTGTTTGGAGAGTATAGCAACTTGAACTACTTTGCTTCTGTGCACAACTTTATATTGAAGTACAGTCAGTACTGGCCTTTCCTTTTCTTCGTATAAATTTACTTTTTCTTCACTTTTCTTTAGGACTTTTGAAACTGAATTAATTATATTTGGACAAGGGAATATAAGATAATCGTTTGCTTGTTGTGCAGTCCTATATAGGTCTTTGAAATTAAACGATTATAACATCATTAGAAGAGAATAATGTGTCACAGCTCTATCGGTCATGACGATGATGATAAGAAGTAAAGTAGAATATGCATTAAACACACAAAGTATTTTTGTCTTTAACGTGTCAAGTGTGGCAGGTGAAGCAATAATACATAACGCAGTCTCTATTATGCTTGATATAAGTATAAAACTTGGGCACTGTGGTAAAGTATAATTCCATTATAGATTTTATTTTTGATAAATCGCACAGTGTTTACAGTTATATGAACTGATGACGTTTCGAGCACAAACTATTGCTCATAATCATATCAAGTTACTCACACAACTTTGATCTCTCATTTATATACATGTGTGGAATGGATTAGATATTGGATTAAAAATCAATGTGAGATAATGTACATTCAGAAATAATCGTACGAGTGTTGTTGATCAATTGCAATTAGATGGGAAAATTAGACGAGTGTTTTTACAGTCATAATAAGCTGCTTGTTAGAATGTGTTTGAATTGAAATAGAATTTTAAGATTATTTATTATCTTCTTCTGGTTTGACTGATGGCATTAATACGAGTGTTATTGATCTACTATAATCAGATGGAAGATACGACGAGTGTTTTAATAGTCATAATGAGTTTTTTGTTAGGATGTTGTAATGTGTTTGAATTGAAATGGAATTTTAATATTATTTATTACCCTCTTCTGATTTGACCTGCTGTAATAATATCTTCCATATCTCTGGTATTTGCATTGAGTCATGTTTGTTGCATGTGTTGGGTATGGAATCGATAAATAAGGATTCCGTAATCAACCTCTCTCTCCACTTAGCTATATTACTTTTTAGAATTTTAACCCTATCCCACCCTATTGTGTGGTTGTTTGTTATTGCATGAAGTGCAATCGCTGAGCTTTTTTCTAAATTACTTATCTTTTCAGGGTCAACCATTCTTACCTTAGCTAAATTCTTATGTTCTGTTAATCTGACTATCCCTGACCTATTAGTTTGACCTATGTAGTTGACCTCACAGTTATTGCAGGGTATTTTGTAAATTATATTATTTTGTTTAATTGGATCCACCGGGTCTTTTAGCCTACAGAGCTTGTCTCTGAGTGAGTTTGTAGGTTTGAATGCCACCCTAATTCCTTGGTTGATTACGGAATCCTTATTTATCGATTCCACACCCAACACATGCAACAAACATGACTCAATGCAAATACCAGAGATATGGAAGATATTATTACAGCAGGTCAAATCAGAAGAGGGTAATAAATAATATTAAAATTCCATTTCAATTCAAACACATTACAACATCCTAACAAAAAACTCATTATGACTATTAAAACACTCGTCGTATCTTCCATCTGATTATAGTAGATCAATAACACTCGTATTAATGCCATCAGTCAAACCAGAAGAAGATAATAAATAATCTTAAAATTCTATTTCAATTCAAACACATTCTAACAAGCAGCTTATTATGACTGTAAAAACACTCGTCTAATTTTCCCATCTAATTGCAATTGATCAACAACACTCGTACGATTATTTCTGAATGTACATTATCTCACATTGATTTTTAATCCAATATCTAATCCATTCCACACATGTATATAAATGAGAGATCAAAGTTGTGTGAGTAACTTGATATGATTATGAGCAATAGTTTGTGCTCGAAACGTCATCAGTTCATATAACTGTAAACACTGTGCGATTTATCAAAAATAAAATCTCATCTATATTGGACTCTATTATGCTGATTGCAGTAGTATATAATTCCATGAAACTAATACTCTGCGGATTTATCAGCATATAACATTGTTTAATAGTGATATTCACTGTTTTAGTGGAATTGTCGCAATGAAATCGCCCGGCCAAGTACTCACACTATTTTGGATAATGTCGTCCTACACGTTCGTATACTCATTTAAACTTGTCAATAACGACCCTGAAGTATAAGTCCTGTTTCGTTGTCTATCTAACTTCTGGTCTTTCGTTGTATAAGTTCGATATGGTGAAAGATGACAGCTGTGTACTGAAAATACATATATCATTCATACCACAAATTATAATCATCATTATTAACATACAAAAACCTTACATTGAGTTGAACTTTAGCTTCAAGATCTTCATCCGGTGGAGGTTTTGGCTTGCACAGACCACAGCAGAAGTTGAAGCAACAAAAGCAACAACAACAGAAGAAGCATCCAGTAATAAGAAAGAGGAATATGAAAAGTGCCTGGAACAAGGAAAAAACGACAAAAAGAAAGCATATAACATATATGCTGTGTATATGAGGAGATAAAAAACTTTAAGTTTAGCAATTACCGTCAGTAGAATGACTTGTTCATTATAGGTTGTATTCAACTCAATATCTCTAACGAATTGGATCTCAAAAATGTGCGCATTCGGTCATTTTCCTTACATTTTCACTGTGAAAGTTGAGTGAATGACTTGAGAATATGTTTACAGTGAAGTTTGGTCAAATAGCTTAGTTTGTATTCGTCACATCACGTAAAACCTTTCATTTTTAACACAGAGAACATGCCTGAGAGGAATATAATTATGTGGAGTTGTACTTTCATTTTATGCAGTTTGAAACACGTGTAACAACTTCATACAATCTAGTTATTTGCACTTTTCTTATACAACTCAGATTGTGCCGCAAAACTTTACAATATTTGTATTTTCAAGCTGTTGGCCTTACTTTAACTCACATATAAAACTGTTAAAAAGTCATCTGTAAATCGTCTCAAATTAAACAATAAGACAGACTAGAGAATGAGATTCATCAAATAAAGAATAGGTCAGGGGAAAATAGATTACGATACATTAATCTAACAGCTGGGTATAAATCTATGTCACACTGTTTGTTTTTAGGACGAAGCCAATTTTGTTTAAGCAGTTTTCAGAAGTGACTTACTGATTACTATTGAGATTAAATGTCTTATTTTTGAGAATTCATCGACAAAAACTAACACCTCCATCTGTGGTATGGAACAGATGTGAGCATGAGCCGTGAAAGCAGCACAGTTAACTTCAGAGGTGTGCATAAACCTAGGCAATTATTAAACTGAAGCACAAAATAGGCGGATAAGGTATTTTTTATCAGATTTCCTGAAAATGAACACCATTGAACTTATCGTTTTATATATGCGAGCAGCTGCAATTTTCTGCAGAAAAACAGAATGAGTAGAAATTACAAAGAGTAACTCCAATCAGAATGGATAAACGTGGGGGGGGGCGCGGAAGGGGAAGGTTTCTTCATAGATCAATACTAAATAAGTATTCAAAGAAAAAACTAAAGCTTTATTCTTAAAATGATTAATGCGATCTGTAATTTTTATTAAAAAAACGAAAACGTAGAACTACTTATTTGTAAGGTAAAACAACATTGATAGGAAATCTTATGTAGATTCGCATACTGGACCTTTGATCAAGTTGTATTACCACTGTGTGAAAAATAAAAATGACCTAACCAATCAGATCAGTTTCAAGTTCCATCACGGATTGACATCAGCTGGAGAAGCATTGAAAATCAAGGAGTACTATACGATTAGTTTGTTCTAGGTTTGAGATCCGCAGCAGTACACACCCATGATCTTACCAGGGATCAAACCGAGGATCTACTACCGAAGAGTCCCAAACAAGGAAGAAATGGTTTTCCAGTACTCCCTGGGTTTTAATGGCTTTCAAACTGAAATCAGTTTGCAATTGATCAAATCCTTGCAAACACTTGAGATTATTCAGATTAATGTGTTTAGGTGATGTTGCCCTCAGGCCGAATGATGAAGATGATAAGAGCAATATAGGATGTTAATGGTTGTTTCTAAAGTTGTGCTGCCTGCATATGTACCACAATTCAGTATTTTTAAGCAGTTGTGTTCTATGAACAGGTTGATTTAATTGCAAAGATTTCGTCATCCGTCTGGACATCTTCAGCACAAGCTTTAGTATGAAAGTTCGTCGGTGGCACAGAGGTAGAATGCTCGCGAACCATGCATGTGGTTCGGGGTTCGATCCCCGCCGACACGCTCCTTTACCTAACTAAGCCAATAATAAGACTGGTAAAAAAGGGAAGGTTGGGAATGAAGCTGGCAACCCCATCCCGTAAAAATAAATACTATCACTACCGAAACTTGAAACCTCTAGCTTGAAGCCCTATATTCCACTGGGAACGTAAAGGAATAAAAAAATTTAATATGAAATGAAGTTATCTGAATTCTCGATGAATGATGTAATTGTATCTCCTGACGTTTATAGTATTTGGTTTAGAATTTATATTTCTATTGACTTGGAATTAGGAATTTTTGTCATATGGTTTATTCCTTATTAGTTGGTAAATCTGATCTATATTAACAGGTCTGTTAATCGCTGACTTATCTGAGTACAAGGCTTCAATCAGCTTAGATTTAAACGTCGGCGTCGCAAACCAATACTCCAATTCACCGTCATATTCCAAAATCCTTTCTGAGGAGCATCAAAGATATCAAAAACACTGACATAATCGTTATGTTGTGACCTGATAAAGGCTCAGGGATGATGCTGATGAACAAAGATAATTACATCGCAAAGATGAAAACCGTGCTAAATAATCCACTGAGGTTTAATGTTGACGAATGACCGAAAGATAAGACATATGCAGTTGAAAAACGAATTACAAAGGCACTGAGAGTTCTCCTAAAGAAGACATTGAATGACAACAATGCTTATAATGATTTAAAACACCTAGGGTCTCGTTTACCGCACATGTACAGCCTTCCAAAAACACAAAAAAACAAGTTCCCCTGAGACCTATACTTTCGATGATCAATTCGCCTTAGTATAAGGTTGCTCGTTGGCTTCCAGAGAAGATGGAACCCATTTGTCGACGGCTAGCCATGCACACCATGAAAGACTCATTTCATTTCGCCAAAAGTATAAACCACATGGACATTTTAAATAAATCCATGGCGTCATTTTATATAACCTCCTTGTTCACAAGAATCCCAGTGAATGAAACTATCAAGATCATTTGTCAATAGTCTGATCTTCTCCCACTCCCAGGGTCGGAATTCAAAAGCTTACTGCTAGTGTGTACCATGGACGTACTATTCCCATTTGACAACTTTTTGCCGCCAAATAAATCGTGTAACTATGGGCAGTCCACTCAGTTCTGTTTTAGCAGATATCTTCATGTCCAACCTTGAGAGAACAAAGTTGAAGCATACAATCGACGAAACAACTTCTTATTGTCGATATGTCGATGCCACATTTGTAGTGTACAACAATGAAAGTCATGCTTCCTACCTACTAGGGCTATTCAAAAACGCACATACAAATATCTAATTTACTATGCAACATGAAAATAAAGGAAAGTTCTATCTATTTGACACTGCCACGCAACGCCTAGAAGATGGTAGTCTCCAAAGGTCAACTTACCGAAAACCTAAATGGAAGACAATGCCTATATCTTAACAGTTTTGTCCAAACAGCTATAAGCGAGCACTAGTCAAGACTCTGAACTAGAGCCAAGAGTATATTTCCTACAAGGAAATTGCAGGAAGAATTTATGACCCTGGGAAAGATGTTGAAAAACGACAATTACGCTTAGAGACTCACTAAGAAATATGGGAGATCTGAAGGCTCAAATATCAAACTAATTGGGATGGGAAAAAAGCCTGCATTTATTCAGCTGGACTTTAAGGGTGAAAATATTGCAGCAATAGTCAACACAGAGTTCAGTACGTCACCAGCCAGAGACTATACTGCAGATGACAATGTCACAACTAACCATTTTCTCTTCATTATCTAGTTCTAAATTATCTAATCTATGTTTTATATCATAAGAATTTCTAAGTCTATATTTTAGATGGCTTTTAAGGGGATTTAATACCATGGCTAAATACTTAGATAATTCATAAGTAGGTGAATTTCTAAAATCAACAATAGGTCTAATAGGGTATCCTGATTCATGAACTTTAACAACACCATACATCCTACTGGGGTTATTAGTTTTGGGCAATAAATTAAACCACTTAGACTTACTTATAAACGGCTTCATTCGGCGTATAAGGTCCACTGTGGATTTCTTAACCCTATTCATAACAGTGTCCATTGATTTATTAATTTCCAAATATGATCCCGTTTGTATGTGAGTATACACCTTGTCTAAATTGTCTATTACTTACTTTTACTTTACTTCGGCTATCTCCTATGGGAGGATGAGCCGGCTTCATGAACGTCTCAAATCATCGCTGCCCAGGCGCGGCGATCTGAAGCAAGGTTTTGCGATAGGGATATCCAATTCTTGTTCCACATACGGAGTCCGTAGACGGTTTGTAGCCCCAGGCACTCCATATCCGCCTTGACTGTACCAAGCCATGTCTTCAGCTGTCCGCCCCTGCGACATCGCCAAGATGGTAATGGCGAGGGATTTAAAACTGATTTGACCAGATCGTCATCTGGTCGGCGCAGAACATGGCCAAACCACCGAAGGCGGCGTTGTTGCACCAGTATTGGAATTTGGTTGATGTTGTAGCAACGACGACGCACTTCTTCGTTGGAGAGTTTGTCCTGCCAACGAACATGCAGAATGTACCTGAGACACCAATGGTCTACTACCTCGAGTCTGCGTAAATCTTCCGCGCGAAGAGGCCAGGTTTCACAGCCATACAGGAGAACGGGTCGTATGGAAGCTTGGTAGACCCGAATTTTAGTCCTGAGACTGATTTCTCTCTTGCTCCATAGAACGCTCCTCAGCTGTAGAAACGCATTCCGGGCGTTGGAGATTCGCGCATTCATTTCGTTTTTCGCTTGGCCGTTGGGGAGCATTATGGATCCCAGATATCTGAAGGATGGCACAATTTCAATAGGTGCTCCATTTAGGGATAAGATTTCATCATTGCTGGTGGATGTGTTCGAAAACATTTTGGTTTTGGAAGTGTTAATGTTCAAACCGATAGTAGGCACGAGGTGGTTTATCTGGTCGAGCGCCTGTTGCATATCGGGGAAGTTTTCAGCTAACAGCACGACGTCGTCGGCGAATTCGAGGTCGGTTATGTGAATATCGGGCGAAAGTTGGACGCCGTGGTGCTCGGTTAGGGCGTGCCGCAAAATCCAATCGATTGTGAAATTGTCTATGATTTGTCTAATATACCTGTTGCATTTCCTTTGACTCAATTTGTGATTACTCTATTTTGTTATTCTTAAGGTGTCTAGGCGCTTCTATCTCTGGTTTTATCAGCTTACGATTTCCTCGTTTTTGTCGAATTAATCTTACTGCACATTGTGCTCGTACTTCATCATCCGTCGTAATGTTTATACCACTTAGTGCTATTTCTATTGCTAGAGAATAGTTCAACTATAGCACTACATGCAGTTACACACAACCATACAATAGGATTGGATAGGATGACAGTTTTAAAATCTAATGTCACCGGGTGGAGGGAGAGATTGATAACGGAAGCTTTGTTTACCGATTCAACTGCAAACACGTGTAGTACGAATGATTCAACACCTGTTCCAGATATCTGGAAAATTCTACTACCCCTACGACAAATAGGAGAGGACAAAGAAAGCTATAGAACTCAAGTTTCGAAGTCGCGTGATTATAAATGATATGATTATGAACAATAAATTTTGTTCGAAACGTCATCCAGTAAATAATACTGTTCCACTGTGTGATATATCTAATAAACAAACTAATATGGAATTACTTACTACTTAGTGCCCAAGTTTTACACATATATTTCTGAAATAAAGTCTAGAATATCCAAACCATCACAAATTGGTATAGCACGCATACTGGCAAAATCACTTCATTCAACATTATGCAGATCTAAAGACTCAGCACTAAAAGAAGACAACAGCAATACCATCTACAAAACAAATTGTTTGAACTGTAACAAACGTATTTCGTACATTTATTCCGCTTGATGAATTTGAATAAAGCAAGAAGAACAGTGGTTTGTGCAGAATAAGACGTTACCATCCTTTGCTTATCTCGTTAGCTCCTCATGAGCTGCTTACAGCCTAAATGAATTATTAAATTTATGTACAGAATAGTTTTAGCATACTTGCAAATTTTACTTGTTGTCAGTTGAAAGTAGGTTCCAAAATTAGTGAACAGTGTTCAGAAAATTACACTTATATAGTTTTTGCACAGGGAGTTCAAGTTTAAACAAAATCAGTGTGTGCATACTCTGGCAAAGGAGTTACGTAACAAAAACGAGAGGTGCGTAAGATGATGAGTGACTATTAAATTTGGTAACGTTGTCCTGAGTTCAACTCAAATAATAGAAACAGGAGACAAGCAAAATCACACTATATCGAAAGGGGTGAGGCTAAAACCAAAGATCACGTAATCGAATGAAAGAGAGAGTAAAGACATCAAGTTACCAGGACAAGGAAAGACTGATAGCTGTTTCCCTCTGAACACATAAATAGGGTTTCAGGAGTTTGATAGAGACTGCTTCCTTAAACTTGAGGAGAATTGAGCTTTTTGTTTATTGATAATTTTAAAGGATTTGGTGATTTCCAACTCATGACCCGATGTCTTGTAATGGCACTATAGTAAGCATTTGTTCCCTTGAGACGTGGAGTTTTTGGTACATGTTCAGAAAATCGGAGGTGCGTCCTACTTTCTGTTCTTCAAATGTACCTGCTCCCGCAGATACACGTAAATCTTTATACACGGAATTAACATGGGAAGGGTGTCTGTATCCATTTTTTTTTCATTTATTATGCAGTTAGAAGACTGAATCATCACAAATACAAAAGATTGTCCGGTAACAAGTTGTAAAAGTAAGGAATTCAAAACAAATGAATTTTCTTTCCAAACACCAATAAAGCATGTAAGTGAAGTCATTGTCACTCACCTTACACCATTTGTTTGTAAGCACAAAGTAAGTGTTTACATTTTCTTCGCCAAATTGTTCCGCAATCGATAATCCTAAGCTTCCATATTTATCATAGATGCTTCTTTTTATAGGATCAGTTAAAATTCGATAAGCTCTATTGATTTCCTTGAACTTTTACGAAGAAATAGAAACAACAAAAAGGGCAATAACAGTGAAAAGAAACCTACGAATAAGGTGAAAAACTGTCAAGTGAAAAAATGCATAACAGGAAACAATAGTGAACCACAATCGCTTGTTTATTTGAATAAAAAAGAAAATCTAACATGTTTATTTCCCCTATAGATTTATTTTATTGTAGACCAGCGGTCAGAAGCTGACTTCCTACTTCTTCTTAGCTCGATCAGGAAACTAAATCCCTATTTGAGGAAGAACCAGCTAAACACATATGTGTGTTCGATAGCTGAGCTCACCCTGAAGAAGCTTGGAAGAATATTCAGTCAACCATAGATACAGCTCTAAAAGCTGTGAATAAGGTAAATCCAAAGGTGAATAAAAACCATTGGGTTTCGACTGCCTCATCCGAACTGATAGATACTAGAAGACTTATTCCGGCGAGCTCCGAATTCAATGAGGAGCGAAAGATGCACAAAAGGAAACTTACGAAAAGTCTCTACAAGGATCGTGAACAGTGGTGGGTGACAAAGGCGAAAGAGATGGAAAAAGCATCGGCGATAGGTAACACTAGGCAACTCTTTAGACTCATCAGGGAAACGGGTGGGAGAAGGCAAATCATAAGTGAAACAATCTCGGAGAAAAATTGCACCATAATTAGCTCCCAGGATAGACGACTGGAACGCTGGAAAGAGTACTATGAGGAGCAGTTTAATTGGCCCACAGCCACGCTCAACCTGTCGAACATCCAACACCTCCCTGAATGGGATATAGACACTGGTCCGCCGTCTGTGAGGTAACAAGAGCTATCTGTAATTTGAAACGAGGCAAAGCGACAGGACCCGATGGATTTATTCTGGAGGTGTTTAAATATGGGGGTGACATTCTAGTTTGTAGATTAACTAAGGTACTAGGCAAAGTCTGGGAATCAGAGACAGTGCCATCAGACTGGGGTAAGTCACTTATTATACCGATACTCAAGAAGGGAAACAAGTCCTCGTGTGATAATCATAGGGGGATCAGCCTAACGAACATAGTTTCTAAAATCCTAGGCCCAGTAATCATGCATAGACTAAGCAGAACTCGGGAAGAACAAACGAGGGAAAATCAAGCAGGCTTTAGACCAGGTAGAGGGTGCATATCTTCACTCTCCGACAGATTCTAGAACATAGACACACTTTCCGGCGTCCAACAATTGTCATATTTCTTGACTTGAAGGCAGCCTTCGACTCCGTGGATCGAAAGGTACTATGGCAATGTTGGACTGTGAAGGGAGTGCCAAGAAAGTACATAGCACTAATCAAGACACTCTATTCAAACTCACGTAGTCGTGTAAGGGCTTATGGGGAATTGTCATCTGAATTGATAACAACCAGCGGTGTCCGACAGGGATGTCCACTTTCCCCACTCCTATTTAACTTCATCATAGATATGCTGATGGAAGTATCCTTAACTGAACGTAACGACTTAGGAATCGACTTGTTACCAGGGAATAGTCTTATGGACTTAGAATATGCAGATGACATAGTCCCTTTAGGGGAGGATGCTGACAAAATGCAGAGTCTTCTGAACACCTTGAGCAGCAATCTTCGTATGTTTGGCATGCGATTCGCCCCTACAAAATGTAAGATGCTGCTACAGGACTGGACTACATCAACTCCTAGCTTAGTGATAGGGAGTGAAGTGACAGACAGAACATGTCGACCACTTCACCTATTTGGGAAGTTGTATTAGCACCAACGGACTGATTGGCGACGAAATCTCAGCACGGATCCAAAAAGCTTGAGCTGCTTTCGCTGACTTACACCATCTCTGGCGTAGGCGTGACATCCGGTTATCAACCAAGGGACGTGTGTACTGCTCAGCAGTTCGCTCCGTCCTTCTCTATGGCTCTGAAACATGGCCAATACGCGTTGAAGACATGAAAAGGTTGACTGCTTTCGATCATAGATGTCTGCGATCTCTGTCTCACGTTAGGTGGTATAATAAGGTAAGTAATGTTGACGTTAGGCGTAGAGTGTTGGGCAAGGAGGGAAAATCAATCGACGAGGCTATAAAGTTACATAGATTGAGATGGCTAGGTCACGTGCTGCTCATGCCTAACCATCGCCTCCCCCGACGGGCATTGCTAGCTGATATAGGTGCAGGTTGGAAAAGAGTGAGTGGTGGCCAAACAAAAACATGGCATCAATCCATGAAATCCCTGACAGTTAAACTGAGTCAGGTAGTGTTATGTGCTGGTCGAGTAATTAATAGTCCTGACGCAAGAAGGCGGAAATCAGAAAATCACCAGGTTCACGATGATATTTGTATTTTTCAAACAAGGAAAAATCAATGTCACGCAAGTGTATGAGCGAATGTTCAAAAATGAACGAATCAATAGACAGTCTTAACATGATTGGTTGTAATGACATGTGACAAGGTCAGACATGTTTGTTTAGTCAGTGGACAGACAAAAACATATTGTCACTTATAATGGAATATCGATCCATATATACATAGCAAAATATAACAGACTGTCAAAAACAAACACACATATTATGTGGATACATATCAGGTAGGGAGATGCAGACTTCCGGGTTGGGGCCCTCGGGACTCTAGGAATCAATGGCTGGAGACAATAGGTGACATGGCTCAAAATCGTTGTCAGTGGCTCAGATGTATTCAGTCTCTGTAATCTTTCATATTTCTTTCTGCCATTACCCATTCTGTTTCGCTCTTATACCTGTCAAACTCAATTGATTCTTTGTACTCATCTTCTTGTCTATCTTTGTGTGCTATTTGGAACGTGGTAACTGGAACTGCTGCACTTCGGTGCCAAGTTCTATGTTGAATCCAGACAGAGACAGACGGACAGACTTCTTACGGGGTGTGTGACTGCAGCAGTTGGAGTTGTAATTCAGTAACGGAGGCTAGTTTGATAAAAACCATTTTTCAAGCAAATAAAATCAATTTTTAACTAGATATGGTTTACAAGAGCCTTAGAAGATCGTGACGGCACCAGAGATAGCCAAGGTTGTCGTATGACGACCTGATTTTCAATATACAGTTAGAGGTCTAATATATCACACCACCACCTTTAATATATCTTATTGACGAATTCTAACACTTCCCCTGCAAGGGTGAGTGCAAAGTACAGACTCCTGCCAATCTTGCAACAATACTCTGCACTTAAACGGAGTAAAGCAGACAGACATTAATTGTCAGCTGACTAAGTTGGATTTGGGTAGTCTGTATGTTATTGCATAATGAAAACGATATCGTCTGAGTGCTTAAGAATAAAAATTCTTCCTCACAATAGTAGATCTACACTATCACCATTCATTTGTCTCTGAGGTGTCTCCAGCAAAGCTAAAGAACAATGGTGAAATTAGGCGACACCACCTAACCTCGTCTTTGGTTGAGAACAGTGGTGATAACTGATTGTATGCCTTCACTCTGAGGTGTTTTTTTGTAATGAGCTTTTAGGATGTCAATAAACCTTTCAGCAACACCTCTCTTTATCACGAAATACCAAAGATACTTGGGTTTTGTGGAATTGTCAGGTCTAAGACACCGAGACGAGTGTTGATACAGCTCCAATATCAAAACCAACATTCGATTGCAACCCTTTTAGTTGTATACACAAACTAGATAACAAGCTGGGAAGAAAGAAACACATCAAAATGACTGTTGACAGATGGATGAATAACTGTAACTGTTAGCTTCCCTCCTAAATAACTTGATACAGCCAGGGATGGGCAGACATCCTCGCCTCTTAGTGCTGTTATGCGGTTACGCTTTCAAAGCTCTTACAACGAGAACCCCCACGCGATGGCGACTGAAAGAGAATGCAAGTATCATGGTGATTATTAATGAACTGTGATATGCGGAAGATCCATACAGAGAGATTAAAAAACCTAGGATTCAAAGGAATGGTGCACATGGGGATTCAGAATCCTATAATGAATGATGTGAACCTGTTTTAGTCATCGGCAGTCGTGGAACTACAGCTTTCATGTCCAGTCTTGTGGACTAGAATTCAAGCCAAAAGGTTGGTGAGTGACTCCATAAGATAATTACGTGTTTTAGATGAGGTGTCTGGCAGTCTCTCGCCCTTCATGCAAATGATAAAATTATCACTATAAAAATTTTGGAGTTCTGATATAGGCATAAAAACTGTCAGCCCTGTCGCACCACTATTGTGTAATTATTATTTGAATTGTTTGAGGTTTTATGATTACTGTTACTACTTTAACTATATATAAAACTGTACGTGTTTTCAATTGTGACCATCTTTTAGTGTGTGCTAAGTTTTTCCTGAGTTTCAGTGGTCATCATAACCATCAACTCAGACTAGCTAATGCTATCCAATTATTTAGATATTACTATTATGATAATTAGAGAACACAATTTCAGCAAGTTCTCATTTTCAGTAATTTCTCGTCAGGTTTTATAATTATGTAAACAAAATTATTAAGTATAAAGATTCGATTCCAATGTCATGCATGGAATTAAAATTCAAGTACATGAGAATTAGTAAACTTCATATACGAATTCCACCCACCTTAATGGATTTGAACAAAGCAATAACAACATATGGTGCAAGGTAAAACCGATCCATTGTTTGTTTGTTAATATCTTATCGGCTGCATACACAACTTAGCTAAATTTAATACTTTAATTTGACACACCTTGAATATAAAATTTGTTACGGTAATTAAGAACGACCAAAGTATATAGATGAACCGAAATGTTAATTCAGTAAAATACAAATTATTTCTGAACTTGTGTGTAGTGTGATCAGTTTCTCAAATACAACAAAAGGTGAAGGAGCAGGAGTAGTAACAACAAATTGGAATACATTAATTATAAGATGAAGTCAGCCATTAGAAAATTCTTAATACATAGATGAGATGTGCCAAAATGGCTGTGAGCTGAGCTCATTTGGTTTTAGCCTGCACCCTGTGTTGTTAATACTTTGTTCAAATGAATTAGTAAGTAATAATTAGTGATCACTGATGATAATAACGGTAGTATTAATAAAGGATATATATGTACCTATTGAATGCAAAGAATTTGTGTAAATACCCCTTATAAGTGTAAAGTCGAATCTAGCTTTTAATGTATTTGGATAACCTATAGCAGTTTGGTGAATTAGATTATGATCTAGCAGTATTATATGAGGGCTACAGATATTATACGAATGCTGGATTCTTCCGATCCTGGGGCAATCAAATACCTCAGTGAACTTTAAATAGCGATACTATGACTTCTTAAAAACATAACAATTTGTAGTGCTTTAACTTCCACTAGACAATTCATGAACATAAAGTAATTTGATATAATCTATATATTTTTAACCATAATATATAGAGTGTTATTAACTCCCCTCAATACAAATGACATGATAGTCTAGGTTTAATTTCTAGGATAAAAAGACTCACAATATCGGCTGCTGAAGGATTGTCTGGATTTTTATCTGGATGGAATCGTAAAGCCAACTAAAATGAAAAAGCAAACAACAAAAAGAATAAACTAAAAGCTGAAATAAAGTAAAAGTGTATTCCAATAGTTTACACACAATGATAAGCTTTTGTTTTTTTGTTAATATTTTGAGCAAAATTACTGCCCGTGAGAGCTGTTTGGTGATTGGCTGGAACAGCGCCAAAGTTGACACAATGAAAGTTAAGAATTAGATACACGTTAACAGAACTATTTTAAGTGGATTGAAAGCGAAAATGAAATGGAAAAGGCGTAGGACAATGAGATATACAGAGATAATTCGCTCAAAAATCCGAGTAGAAAACAAATGTTACTCAGTGAATGACTTCACTTACATGCATTTGGAAATGAATCGCACCTATTGGATAACGACTAATGGCGCTACCTGGCTGTACAAACCTATGTAGGTGGGGCGGGTTTTGAATCCATGATGCAGTAATCTTAAATCAAGCCACATCAACATAAATCAGACTGGAAACATTTCAGTTTTCGTCAGCCATTGGATTAAATGACTCAACTCCCTAAATTACTAGTTGGTGAACAAAACCCAAAATTATGAATCATAATTTAACTACAAAGGGATTTGTATTCAGTAGCATATGATAATAATGATGAGACAACTTGCAGGATAAAATAAACCCATGTTACGCCATGATTAAAGTCAAGATAATTACAAAGCTAGAAGTACACAATATTATGAATTCGCTTTTAAACGAAACTAGTGTAATAAGGGATTAAGACGCAACAAACGAAAGCAGTGGAAAGATATCTGAATAACTGATCACTACCACGTATCAAAAATATTATACTCTAATCTTATTATTTCACTTTAGAGGTAGACTGAATGGGGACACTTAATTGTTTTGTCGACCAAGTTATGACATCGTAACTAATGAAGCAGCATAAGTACTTAGTGAGATAATGCAAATAAAAATGAGAAGTATCTAGTCCTCGTAGTTCCCATATATTTGTAACATGAGGTACGTACCTATGCCAGGTTCTCTTTTCGTTGTCGTTTTAAAGTGTATTTTGATCATTTGAAGTTAAGTGCATTTATGTTTTAAGATCACAATAACGGCAAACTGAAGTACGACTGCTTAAGCGAAGTGTTGGAAACACTGTATATTCTTTACTGCTAATGTAATGCAGGGTGACCTTAATTTAGGATCTTAAAATAACTTTGTTAATAGCCTGGATGAACTGATACAATCAAAAACAAACAATCCCACCTGCTTCCAAGAAACAAAATATGGCAGGCGATAGACAGTATACTACCAGGCAACAAATTAATGTCTAAAAATTTAGTACATCCATAGTTTCATCATTTAATTCTGGATGTTCGGTGATTCTGGACTTCTTTACTTCCATTTATATGACACGAACGCTACATAGACAGCACTAAATTCGGATTACTTGTTTGAGCAGTGTACTCATATTTAATAAATAACAAGTAATCGGGGCAGATTTCACATGTAGCTATATGATACAACTACATCAAAACCCTGAGAACACATAATTTGTCGTCATTTCTTATTGATATGCTCGAATTTTTCTCAGCACTTATTAGAATTTCGTTTCTCTCCTGATGTTTATTGTTTTTGTTGACAAAACCATGAATATGTTGTAATTGTTTAGATGTCTGTTTTGCAGCTCAATTTTACAACTTAGGAAGATGATAGGGCAGTATGAATGTGTGCTTGGTTATTTTGACATTTATCTTCGCCTCTTCCTTAACTTTTATTATACCGAATAGATAAGACAGATAAGGAAGGATGAAATCATGTTCACATAGAAAGCCGTTAAATGGCTCGTTCTCACTTTGTGCATATAAAGTAGACTCAGTGTTAGGGTTTTGACCTAGGCAGGAACTTGCGTATTTAAATATCTCTTCAAGGTACATCATTACTTATTAAGCTTACATAGCTATCTGAAAGTTGTATCCAAGTATATTCAGTCCGGTTGGGGTCCTCAAGATGCTAAGAACTAACGAATAACGACTATTGGTGATATGGCTCAAAATCAATGAGACAGATGCATTCACACTTCTCGACCCCCCACATTCACTACACTTCCACATTTCTTCATTTAATTATTTTTTCACGTACGTGTCTGACCACATAATTTTCGAAATTTCTCCTGTTTTCTGTATCTTCCTGATACATGGTGTGGTGGCTTGAACTTCTGCATTTCTGTGCAAAGTTCTGTGCTGAAACTCAGTTAATTGTTAAATGGTATCCTGGATTAAAAGGATTTAGGGATTACCGTAAGATACTACTTGGAAACGAGTGTATTGTAATGAGATGGCAAGCTAAACGCTTGACATTTAGTTGTGGATTCGTACAATGTTTAAGTCCTTTGATATGCTTATGATACTGCACTTATAATGTGCCCAGGTTGTTATTTAATGCTTCGTAGAGCAATACGACAGACTAAAACGGATATAAAAGATACACACTCATTGACAAAGCTTTCTCAATGCTAAGTATACCAAAAATACCGAATCTTACTGCAAACAGTAGAAAACGAGGTACTCAAACGTTATTCTGTCATATTACACAATTAGATATAGGTATATCTTTGATGATCTATTTTACTTCCTTTAAGTAGATCCCCCCCCCGAAAAAAAGTCATCTGCAAGTAAACATATATGTCACAGCTGCAGCAGTTTCTGATGAAGTGCTGGTTTTCATAGTGATTAATTATTGGAATCTGCATCAGTCTACACCGTAAACTCCTTTAAATCGGGGACGAACCGTCACAAGGAAAACTACTGAGAGAACTTACAGTAAGATGTTTCTGTGCAGAGTTTTACACAGCAGTGCAGCAGTTCAAGTTGCAACACTTATGTGCCGCACATGAGGACTTAGGGGATATGGGAGATTACAAAGGGTGAATGCGCCTACGCCTTTGAGAACGATTTCAAGATACATCACCAACAGTCTCAAGTCACTGATTCTTGGCATCTCGAGGACAACGGCAATCAGTCTAGACCACCCTATGTGGTTCACAAATTTCATGGACTGATACCAGGTTCTTGACTGGTCACCCCAGACGCTTTTCAACCTGATCTGATATCAGAGAGCGTTGCTGACCGAGGAAGGTAATGGCTCGGCACCGATTTATTAACCATCCTTAGTACTCTAAGTCTGACAGCAACAATCACAATAAACCACATGACGCAGGGGACAGAATGCAGATATCTGAAGATAAAAATACTTAGCCTCTCCACAGTTAACGGTCATCTTCTACATCTTATTCAGCCATTAAACATTACAAGGGCAGGGGAGGTTGCTGTTGAACAGTCCAAGAGGTTATGACAGAGTCAAAAGAAAAGATTTAATTGGTAATACTTTAAAAAATACTTTTAAAAAAAATCGTTATACCAACACTAAATATTGCTTAAAGGCCCAATTTCGAACCACTAGATTTCCACAAAAGAAGTTATTTTGCAATAAAGCTAAAATAATTTGTTCCTGAAAACTTTAACTCACTGAATCTTACACGGGTTTCAATCTGTTGTGAGACACGTGGAAAACGCATACTGAAATGCGATAATACTGAAACGCACAACAATGGTCAAGAATGTTGACCTTTAAGCACTGTGTGGGAGTCATGGAAATATGTCCGTATATTAGTACGAGATTCATGTTTCGAACCATAATTTCGTACTTTTCAGCACTCAATATTTAATAGATCAAGCTAGTCACACAACCCGTTAATTGCTAGTTTCACGGAAGAATTAAAAATACTAGTGACTGTCAGGACAAGATCACCACAAAAGGGTGTCCCAGTGTATGCTTTGCTAACCGCAAATTTACATTTTACTGTGACTAATCAAAATTTTGGATTGAGACGGTGGTTATATAGTATTCGAAAACTCCAGCTACAAGCATTCCAGCCCACACATAACCCAAGTTATGAGTTGGGAACCTGATGAAAACAAATTTGTTTCTCTGGAGCTTCATTCCATTAATAGAATGAAGCTCCAGAAGGAAAACCATAATAGGCGTAGATTAGGTCGCACTAACCTTTCTGTAAGACTTTCTTAAGTCCTCTTCTGGTGCCCCCCTAGGCACTCCTAAAGTATGGTATAATGACTCCCCTGATGTCCTATCAGATGTAAGTTACTTATGGAGGACTCACGATAACTTCCTAGAACCCATCTGCCCCTTGTCGGACATGTAACGAAAGATTTAAACTTCCAGCATCGACATGAAGGAGAAAAACAAACATTTCGCGAGATATGTGAAAACTATTATATCACACTCCCCCGGTGTTGATTGCTGGCAGGATTACATTGAGAGTTTTGAGCCAAATTCAGTCATGCGACAGGTCACGGTAATCATTCCCTTTGGAAGCAGCTATTTCAAAAGTCTAGAACAAGCAGATTTTCAGATTCACATTTATTGGTTGAGGATACTGGGCTTGGGGTCTATGTTAGTCCTTCTCTAGTAAATTTCTGTGGTCTTCCAAACCATTCTTAAATGAATCAGTGGAGGTTGCAGACACCACCGTCTTCTGGGAGTCGGTTCCAAGGGTTTATGAGTCGGTGTGAAAACCAGTACTCTACACAATATGATTTCTTCTTGGATTTTAAACTCTCCTGCTATGTCCTCTAAGGAGTTCCGACCTGGTGTTAAGGAAAAGAGAGAATAGGCCAGGTCTGTAATCATTGTTTAAAATTTTGAACATTGTAATTAAATCTCCTCTGCCTACTGTATGACAGGGAGAAGAGATTTAAGCTGTCTAGTCCTTCTTCGTATGATAAATTAGTCATGCCGAAAATGATACGCAATGTCTTCCTTTGAACCCTTTCTAGAATGCATGAGTTCCTTTTAAGACAAGGAATGGCTGCCTGAATACGGTTTTCCAGTCTTCACTTCAACAGAGATGTATATAAGGAGGTGAACATATCTCTTGTGATTCTAGTAAAGGCTCTGCGAATAGCCCATAAGGAACTAAAACTACGTGCAGCCACCGCGCAACAGTGTGCTGTAGTTTTTAAATCGTGACTAACTATGATACCTAAATCCAGATGAGTCTGAACTGATGGAATTGTTATTCCCTCTAGTCCGTAGGAGCTGATGCTTGCTTGTTCGATGCGGATGGTTGCACATTTTGCCACATTAATCGGGAGCACCCATTCGCTACACCACTCTGACAATTTGTTGACGTCTTGCTGCGACGTGAGCGTATCACTGTTGCCCTTCAGCTCTCTCCAAATTTTTAAGTCATCTGCGTATAGCACAATAGGGGAATCGGTGAGCACAGAACTTACTGATATACAAAATAAATAGTAGAGGTGTATGTACCGTGCCTTGCGGTACTGCACTACGCACTGTAGTTCAAGAGAAGAGTATCGAGTTGATCCTAACATTCTGCCTACTATCTATGAGGGATTGCCTGAGCCAGTTTGGTTGTCTGCCTTTGATACCAAGACTTTCCAACTTCATGAGTAGTCTTTTGTGAGATACTTTACCAAAGGCTCTTCTGAAGTCTATGAAGACGACGTCAACGGGTCTTCTGTTGTCCCTTGATTTGACCCAACTTTCCCTTGTACTGAGGAGATTTGACAGGCCTGAGAGGTTTCTTCGGAAGCTATGCTGTGCTCTGGATAACATTTTGTTGTTTTCCAGACGTTCCATGATACTTTTCTTGATGATTCTTTCCAGTGTCTTGATTAAAGTGCTGGTGAGGCTAATTTCTTATTATTGCTCCCTTGTATTCCTAGTGGAACATAGGGCTTCAACTGCCCGTCTCCCCTTGCTTCTGTTTTTCGCTGTACTTTTCACCTGCATCCATGTTAGTTCACACTAATTCAACTCCTCTTCACACGATCTCCTCCATGTCACCCTTGGATGTCCCACTCGCCGCTTCCTTTTCGGGTTCCACTCAAGGACTTGACGCGCGATGTCACCCAGCGGTCTCCTCAGCGAGTATCTGATCCATCCTCACTTTCTCCTGTGTATTTGTTGGTTGGCGATTGGTTCTTGTTTTGTTTGTTCCCATGGTTTCTTGTTGGTGATTCTTTCCGGACCGGCCATCTGATCTTCAGTATAGAGCGGAGACAGTTGTTAACAAAGGTCTGCAACCTGTTGGAAATATTCTTTGTGACCAGCCCGTCAAGTTTCTAATCCGTGTAGAAGAATTGACTTGACGTTTGTATTGAAAATCCGACCGGATTTTGTTGTTGATGCTAAGTGACGAAGATTTTCAGATTGGTTTCAGGTTGATGAATGTGTTTCTCGCCTTCCCGATTCTCGCTCGATTTGACATCCTCGTCCGTTCCGACTTCCTGTGGTTGAGACAATGCTCCCTAGATAAGTGAGTATATGAAGTAACCTCTTTCAAATCCCTCCCGTTGCTGGTGATTGGCGCTGGATGTTTCTGCTGTTGTTGTTTTTTGTTGGTTATTTTCATCACCTTCGTCTTGTCTACGTTCACCTGGAGTCCTGTCTTTGCTGCCTCTTCGACCAGTTTGTCGGTTTCCGCTTGTAAGTCTTCGATTTTGTGTGACATCAAACATAATTCATCCATGCGCGAAAAACAGGTCTTCTAGGTTCTTCACGTCTGTCTGTCCAGAATATCCCTGTCTTCTCGTTTCCCACTGTCTGACTCATAGTCCAGTCCACCACAATGAGGAATATCATTGGCGGTAATAAGCACCATTGTCTGACTCCTGTGTTTACTCCAAGCGCCTCGCTGAGTTTTCCGTTGTGGATCACTTGACATGTGCCGTTGTCGTACAGCTGTTGAATAAGGTTGATGAATATTTTGGGGTACGCTATAGTACTCGAGTAATTACCAAACTACTTCACGATCAACGCCGTCAAATGCCTTCTCAAAGTCTATAAAGTTGAGGTAGAGGCTTGATTGCCATTCCATTCTTTGTTCGATGATGATATGTAGAGTTGCAATTTGGTCAGAACATGATTTGCCTTTCCTGAATGAAACTTGTTCTAGTCGGAGTTCTGCATCCAGTGCGTCTTTTATTCTCTCCAGGTTGATGCGACTCAATATTTTACTTGGCGTCGACAGGAGCATGATTCCTCGCCAGTTCTTGAAGAATGAGGCGTAAGTCGCCCTTCTTTGGTAGTTTAACGAAGTAACCTTTCCTCCAGTCAGTAGGCACCTTTTCCTCCTTCCACACCTTTTGGAATAATGGAGTCAGCATGTCTGCTGTCGTCTCTGGGTCCGCTTTTAGCGCTTCAGGGGGTATTCCATCTAGTCCAGCTGCTTTTCCAGCTTTCAGAAGCTTGATTGTATTCAAGACTCCAGCTGTCGTTGGAGGATTGGTGTCGACTTGCAGTTGTGTGCGCACTATTGTTGGTATTTCTGGAGGGGTTGCAGGTGGTGATCAGTTCAAGAGTCCTTTGAAGTGATCCGCACATTGTTTAATCCGTCTTTCTTCCTTGGTAATTGGGTTCCCTTGGCTGTCTTTTATAGGTTTCGCTTGTGTTGATCTCTTCCCGGATAGAGATTTGGCTATCTGATATAATGTCCTCAGGTCCCTTTTGCCTGCTGCCTTCTCAGCTTCAGTGGCGAGGTTGTCGTAGAATCGTTTTTTGTCCTTCCTAGAACTCTACACTTCTTTGTCCAGTGCTGTGTAAGTTGAGCTCAGCGTCTCCTTCTCCTGTCCGTCCTTGCATTGAATCATTTTCTCTTTCACCATTCTCCACTCTTCTATTAATTTCCAAGTGTCCGTTGAGAGCCATTCCTTGTCTTGTCTCTTCTTTCTCCCTAAAACCGTCGAACACGTTACGATGAAAATCACCTTCAGGGAGTTCCAATGTTCTTCCACGCCTGATTCTTCCGTGATGTCACGTAGTGTTTCCTGCTTTGCTCTGACGGTTGCAGTGAAAGTGTCGTTTGTGGTTGTGTCCTTCAGTTTCTGAGTGTTGAACTTGCATTGTGGCCTATCCCCAGCTATTCTGAAGGCTTTTAGCTTCACATTGAAAGTCCCTTCTACTAGATAGTGGTCTGAACCCACATCTGCTCCTCTCCTTGACCTTGTGTCCAGTAGGCTCCGTCTCCACTTTCTTGAAATTGAGATGAAGTCTATTTGGTTTTTGGTGTTTCCATCTGGTGAAATCCATGTCGTCTTGTGTATATCTTTATGTTTGAACACACTACCGCCAATCACCAAATCATTGAAGGCGCAGAAGTCTGAGAAGAGTTCACCATTGTCGTTCATTTCACTGAGGGCCTCACGACCCATGGTGAGTTCTCTTCCTGTGTTGCCTCCTCCCAGCTTCGCATTCATGTCGCCCATCAGGATTTTGATATCGCCATTTGGGACGTTGTCCATTATTGCTTGTAGTTGTTTGTAGAACGCCTCCTTCTTCTCTTGTTCTGAGACGTTTGTAGCCGCATAACATTGAATGACTGTAACTTTCCTTCCTTTTGAGTTGAACCTGGCTGTCATTATCCCGGATGAGATTGGTTCCCACAGCGTGAGACCTTTGGCTGCTGTTGGTGACATCATGACGGCCACTCCCTCGGTGTGCTCTTGATTGTCCTCTGGCTGACTGGAATAGATTATTGTCTCTCCAGTTGATAGTTGGCACCTTCCAGTTCCGTTCCATCTCTACTCGCAGATTCCCAACACTTCTATTCTATATCTTCACTTCTCCGAGGCTATCTGGACAGCCTTTCCAGTTTCGTACATTGTACGAACATTCCAGGTACCCATCCTTACTTTTGCTTTCATCGAAAGAAGGCACATCGGCTGACTGGCTTCCCGAAAGCTTTCACCAGCCTGCGTCATTTCACTTCCCCGATTTTAGAGAAAAATAAGGTTTTTTTATAAATAAATATATATTTCTTCCTGTTTATGCAGGAACATACCAATTGTACAGGCATGGATAAGTTAGCATATAAATTACACATAATTTGATGTATGATGGATTTATAGTTTGGTTGTTCTCTCTGACATGAGAGTCAGTCGGAACAGTCTGCTATAAAGTCTGTTTTTGTAGCACATAAAGAGATATAGAAATATTGTCTTCGCATTAACAAAATACCCAGACATCACATGAATGTAATACGGATGTCCGGGAAATAAAAGCTTGAAGTCAATTCTCCTATATAACTTTGTTGTGAACAGCACCCTTGCCTGAAAGTTTATTGATGTATTATGTTGAGGTCAGTGATATATTTATTCCATTCTTTCAGCAGTCTT